CAGTTCTTTGCCCACCTTATCGGTCTTTTATGCACTTCTATCTTCTCCAGCTTTGCTAAATACTTCTCCATGTAGCACAGTAACAAATCCAAAAAGATTGGAACTACCTTATTCCCCTTGCCTAGAAATTAATCTCTTATCAAAATAAGATATCAGGTTAGTATAGTATGATCTACCTTTGGATCAAACATCTTCCCTTATGTTTAGACGCGTTCAGTAAGATGAAGTAACAAATACTGCAGTCACCTGAATACAACACATTGAGATCAAGTTAAATTTTTACATTGAAAACAGTCAGTTTTGGGGTATGTTTTCTTTGATAATTAGTAAAATGCTTTAACTAGAAAGTAGTTATTCATACATACTTAACTGAGAGGAGTTCTGAGAGGAGATAGGACAAAAGAAAGAAGGGAAGCTAGTGACAGGTAAATGGTAAGTAAGAGAGGTAATAACTCACAAAGGTCAATTTGCCTAGACATCCAAATGCTTCTCCAAACTCATTTGAATTTATTTTCATTTAAAATCTTTTTGACAGTCTTTCATAAAAGACTGATACAGCAATGGCTTCACTGCTTCTGGTTTAGAAAATAGCCTACTCAATGCTGTGCAGCTTGCCAGAGGGTGCGGCTCTAGAGCATTAAAAGTTTACCATATAGACACGGCCTAAGATGGATGGAATCAGTCTGCAGAGAGAGTCTTTCTCAGGGGGTTATTTTTTTCTGGTCTGGCAAAAGCAGAAAGCTCAGAGATTAATGAAGTGTACATATGGTTTTGTATATATGTATGTTTGTAAATACAAAGGAATATATGGGTACATGTATAGAACAACCTTTTCAAATGAAAAAAGAAAGAAAAGTAGTTTGAGTTTGAATTTTGGGTACAGGTCCAGCTGTTGTCTTAACCTGAACCCACTGACATACCTAAAATATCTCATTTTGATTTTAATGCTCCTCAATCTGAAGAATGTCCCATAGTATAGCATGCCTACAAACTCAATACTGCTGTTAGAGAGAACCAGTAATAACTATTCCAAAAGGAATATGCTTTTACTTATAGTCCTAAACATCCTGTCACAGACAAACAGCAAATACATTCTATTATGGCTAGCTAAATCCTTCTCATTTTTTTTTAAACAATATGAATTGAGAACATTCTTGTTAGGAATTTTTTAGGGTTTTTTAAAAGCTGATCGTCCACTTTTTTTTACAACAGAGCTTTCTTTCTTTGGTACCAGTGTATCAGTTAGCAGCTCCCACAGCAAACTGATGTGGGATAACAACTTGCTGAATGCACCCTTGTGAGCATTGCTACTTATTCCAGGAAATCAGGTCCAAGAATCAGCTGCCTCCTTCCCACCCCCGCCCCCTCTTCAGGTTCTCATTGGCTGCTATCCTTCTGCAGAAGCACTGCATCTTAGTGAATGGATCTCCCCACCCCCACAGATGAAATAAGAAGTCTCCCCTTGCTGTCTTAGATCACATTGCTCTGACTCCAGCCCAGTCTACAGGGAAGGAAGGTAAGTAGCAGAAATAACACTAAAAATACTTAGAAAAAAAATGTTTGTACTTACTGGGGGAGGGGTTTCCATGCCAAAGATATTGAAACAGGATTGCTTTTCTTTTTATTGAACTCACTTTTGAATCCAGAGCTGTTGGGAATTCATCAACCGAAGTACTTGAAAGAAAAGCCAAAACATAGTTAGGACACACATTTCATAAGTGTTTGTTAAACCCACAAATTTTTCTAACTATAAGCTGTGCATTGTAGAGCATTCCCATTATAACGTGGGAAAGGAATAAATGAAGAACAAGCATTCTCACTTATGTGGCTGAGACCAATTCACCTACAGTAAAATGTTACAGCTCCTCAGGCAGCTCATGTAACTTGATATAGCTCCATCCAAGTCAACAGAGTGGTGCTGATAAATACCAACAAGGATCTGTGAGCCACAAGACTTTTTACGTGAACATAAAGGTTGCTTCTTATATTTCATATCAAACCCTTCTGTTTAACCTAAAAATATTACAAAGCTTTTTGGACCATATATTCTACAGTGTTCCCCTTTATGTTAAAATCTTTCTCTCAAAGTCAGTCACAGATTTTTCATCATCTATGTAAAATTTGTAAGCAAACTTACAATTTAATATTCATGTGATTTCAGTATAGAAGAAGAGGACTCGTTTATATTTTGTATCTAAAATATTAAATAGTCTATTAGAAGCAAGCGCAGAAAGAAGAGATTAGTGTATTTGCTCATATTACTCCTCATGAAAATAGAAGAGCTTGCCTGATCTCTTGCGGATTGCTCACTTGGAATACTGTCATTCAGTGATTAGCTAAAAAAGATAGATACAACTGCATCTTAGAAAGAAAAGGATGTGACAGATGGAAGCTTGAGAATAAAGATGATTAAAACGTATTCTTTTTATGTTTGGTTCATAATGCTTTGCAAACCCAAAAGCATGCAGGCTAAGAATTATAGCAAACCAGCTGAGCCAAGCTGAAGACTTGTTGATACCGGTAATAAAGAACCATGGCAATACACTCTACAAACCTAGAAGGTTATTGAACATTTTCACACATGCACATGGGTGTGCACATACACACACACACAGACACATTCTATAGTGCAATTTAATTGGTGAGACAAGTTTTTGTGACTTGAGATACTTCTGTGCTATTTTCCACAGAAGGAATGTAGAGTTTGGCTAAGACAATGGTCACACTGTACTACCTTGAAATCCAAACTAAAGAAATGTTGGTTTAGGAAGCTGGACCAAAGTCAGGAAACAGATACTGTTTTGGAAATATACATTATTATCACACATTGGGAAGTATTTTCTTCATATGTTAACTG